CAATTAAATTTAAACAAATGTTGCTGCATGTGCAGTTTTATTTCTTCCCTTCTAGTAATGTGATGTTTCCAGTATTCAAGATTCATTAAAATGCTTATGGAGAGGATTTAATAATCCTAAAGATTATGAAATATTATTACGATAAAATGTTTAATTGGGTGGAATGTTCCAACCTCCATATCACTGGGGTTAGTTTGGGGGTTCTACCAAGCAGCTGAAGCCTGGTACTGCTTTGGCCTAGTTGATAACTTTTAATCCACAGGAGTCTGTGGAATCAGTGTCAGCCAGCTGTGATTCACTGCATTGCAGATTCATAAGGATTGCTTTCCCACCAGCCTGGGATGCAAGCTGGCAGCTGCAGTTTTGTCCAGGCTTTGGAATGGTTCATGGCAGCTAAGCAGAGGTTTCTAGGATTCCTAAAAGCAGGGGAAACAAGCCTTGTTGAAGGCTCGGTGCTGCAGTTCTGTGTGCAGAGCACAGGCAGTTGTGATGCTGTTTACACGTCTGTGGAGGCGACAGGAGCTCAGCGTTTGCCTCCCAGTGACAGCCAAGGGGTGTGAGCCCTGTGTGCCTGCCTGCCTTGGGCACATGGAAAGGGGGAGGGCACTGGAAAGCCCAGCTGTGTCTCCAGAGATAGAAATGCAGAGATAGATAGATCTGCCTGCAGAACGTCAATGAGCCAGTGAGTGCCCTCTGTGCTCTCCTTTCTGCCTCTGCCCTGGGGATGCTCCTGGCAGCACCTGCGTTCTTGCTAAGCTCTTTCTGTCCAGCTCTTGCTGCTGTTTATTTTGACAGCTACTGCTCTGACTGGGAGCAAAGGAACTGAGGTGTGACAGTCCTCTAGCACTGGCTTTGTTTTTGGAGAGAACTCCTCCCCAGTCTCCCAGGTGCACTGCTCTGACTCAGGGTTGTTGACTAGTCAACAACTACACCAGACAGAACAGCTTTAGAAAAAGTCTGAAGCTATGAGTGTGCAAGAAGGTCCCCATCCATTTTCAGTTGACTGCAGGTTAGAAGTGGTGACTGGAGAGGAAGTTCAGTAGGAGTGTATCCAATGAAATAGCCACTGTAGGATAAATTAGATTTCTAACCCCATTTAATGCATTATAAATACAGCCTATAGGAAGCCTTACAGCTTCTGATGGTACAGCTCCTGAGAAGGAAAAGAAATCTCCAGCACCTCAGACTAAAGGAGCCAGAGGGAAAGGAAAAGGGAAGAAAAAGGGAGGAAAAGGAAAAGAAGAGCCAGAAGAAGAAACAGACCCAAGAAAGCTTGAACTCCTGAACTGGGTGAGATGAAAGTATTTGTACTGAAACTGTTGGAAATTGTTTCTTTCACCCTGGGGGACAGGGAGAGAAGGAAAACACACATTTTCATTCTACAGGATTCTCATTTGCACATTACCATACTATCAGCAGTAGATTCTGCAGGGGTGTTGTTCAATCTTTGAGGCAGGAATCCCTCTTTTATCCCACGTGCACCACATGCAGCCATTCCTCCAGGGTACAAGTCAGTGCTTATCTGCAGCATCTCCCTCCCTGCACTTGTCAGAAGGAAACAAGAGCACCAGTGAGCATCTTCATCCTTCTGTGTCTCTTTTATTTTGACTTGTTCCTGTCATGCTGAGTAAGTAACTCCCTTTTTCACATAATGTGTCAAACATGGTATGCCTGATTTAATTAAAAATACTGAACAAAATAATTGAAAGCTACAAGTTGAAAGACTGAATGCTACAGTTGTATTGCTAAAAGTTTCTGTCACTGCTCTCTCCTCAGCCAAGACCTCGTTGGAAACTCTACCCTCTCTATTGACTGGTACATGGGTGAAATGTTGTCCTCTAAATTCCTTTTCACTTACAGATTAATCCATGTATTTGGGAACTCAGGAATATCCTAAGTAATGAAAATGTTTGTGATTGTTGGCCAGCCAGCTGTTCTGTACTCATGTGGTGTCTCCATTGTGCCCTCCAGGTGAATTCCCTGGAGCAGGCCATGCTGGATGCGCTGGTTCTGGATCGAGTGGATTTTGTGAAGCTGCTGATTGAGAATGGAGTGAATATGCAGCACTTCCTGACTATTCCTCGCCTGGAGGAACTTTATAACACTGTGAGTGATCAGAAATGACAAAATGCCTTTTTCTCCTTCTCCTTCTGAATATGCTTGTTTTTCAAAAAAATTATTTTTTCTTGTATGTATGTTTTAATATTATTTGAATAAGACTCTAAATTCGGTAAAGCACTTACACAACAGCTTTTATTTTAGCACATGGCAGAAGTGAGTACCATTTTTCCCTGTGGCCCAGCAAAGCAAAATTTTTTCACAAAACTGTAGAACATCATACTTCTGTATTCAGATTCTCTCCTACCTGACCTACAGGAAATTCATTTGGAACGTTGCTTTCCTAGGCTGTCTTTCTTTCTCTCACTTAGGGGGCAGGTAGTCTAGAGCAGCATTCATACAAAATATAACCTCAGTCTAGTCCTGCAGTCCCTTTATGGCTCCTGCAGCAAGTTCAAGTTCAGACAATACCACGAGTGCTGGTGATTGGAGTGCTGTGACTTGAATCAGCACAGGAAGGGTTCTAAAAGGGTTCACACAGTTCTTGATAGAAATGTGTTCATCGCTGCACCCAGTTCCTTCTTTTCACCCCTCTGGAGTCTGATAGCTCATGGTTGTCTGAAGTTCTGCTTACGCTGCCAGATCATTCATTACATTTGTGTTTGCCAAGAATCTGGAGAACTGAAGCCCTGACAGGCCATGAATTATTTTTGTTTCAGAGGTTGGGTCCACCAAATACGCTGCATTTGCTGGTCAGAGATGTGAAAAAGGTGAGTTCTCCCAACATGTAGCAGAGCTACATTTGCATGATTGCACCAGACTGGAGCCAACAGTAAAAGAAGCACAGCATGGGGGAAAGCAGAAATTAGATGGCAGCCTCTAAAGAAAGATAAATGTCTGCTTGTGGCAAACAGTGATGTCAGTCTAAATTGGGTATGGCACTGCCAATCATTTAAAAACTAAGTTCTTAAAAGAAAATTAAGATTCTGGGAGTGTGATGATGTGGCATTTGAGATTAAGGTTTTGTTTCCTCTCTACAAGAAGCTCCCAATGCAGCTTTACAAAGGAGGAGTGGAAGGAAATGCCTGTAGATTAACTGGAAGCCCCATTCATGAACACAGAATTTGTTCCCTTTTGTTTGTTTCCTTGTGTGTATTTAAGTTACTTTTCTCCCATCACTCCTTCTTTTACCTGGGAGAAAATCTGTTCTGTCCTAAATTTGTTATTCATTTGTTTCTATTACATGTAAATTTGTTCATTGTCTGTGAATAGGGAGGGTCATTGTAAGATTTGTCACGTTTGATCTCGTTGAGGTTTTGGAGCTTTTATTCAGTAAAATTCAGCTGCATTAAATTGTCCATCTTCCTTTTTGCAAGGAAAAACTCCCAGTTGTTCCCGAGAGGTTCAGATGTGGGAATGATCCAGTCCTGGGTTAATGTATAATTCATGTTCATCTGCTCTCGTTCGGTGTTGTCTCTGTGTGTTACTGACGTTCCTCTGCCCTGTGCTCTGTCTGTCTCTCCCCTCCTGCATTTCCACGGCTCTCCTGCAGCGCCAGTCCCGGGGATTCAGTTGGGTTAACCTGGAGGTGACGCTTCCTTAGGGTGTAGCTGTGTGCTCGTAGCAGCTGCTCAGTGGTGCTGTAGAACAGTTATTGCTGTAGATGTGTGCACAGTAACCCAGCATTGTCAGCCTGCAGTTCTGACAGTTTTAGGTGTGACCACGGAAATTCTGGTTTGCCTTTTGCTTTGATTCTGGGCTGCACATTAATCATGGTCTGCATTGTAGTCTTAACTGGAGATAACGTGATAAAATAGAATTTTCCATTCAAAAATGTGCAAAGTATGCCTGACATTCCCCATGAAGTTAGGTCATGCCTTTATGCTGGATTAATGGTAATCAGTACAAAGTTACTTAATTTCACCCATGTAACCCTTGCAACCAATGTGGGCTTGTATGGACAGTGACACAGTGGAGGGGTAAAACAAACTATAAAAACTGCCAACAACAAAACCAAAAAAAACATGACCCCAGAAATGTTCTTGATGAGAATCAGTTACTAATATCAGTAATTTCATACAAATATTCAGATACTGAATCCAGTGGTTGTAAATTATGCCCATGTGCCAATTTAATCACGGCATATGTCTAGCCAGGCAGTTTAATCCGTGTTATGTTTTCTTATCCAAAGTTCTTATTCATTTATTGTCTTCTTTTGGGTAGGGAAATCTTCCCCCAGATTATCACATCAGCCTGATAGACATTGGTCTCGTGCTCGAGTATCTCATGGGTGGAGCTTATCGCTGCAACTACACCCGGAAAAGTTTTCGGACCCTTTATAATAATTTATTTGGACCAAAGAGGGTAAGAACGAGTTCATTCTGGCTGTGCCCATCGTGCTGATGGTAAAAAATAAGTAATACTCTGTTTCCTTGTCTTTGGGAAATGCTGCATGTTACATTCCTAAGGAATGCTGCAAGACTGAACTAAAAACCCCCGTAGGGAAGTTCTGTCAGAAACCCGTGAGACATCTGTGTTAAGGGATGGGAGGACACGGCAGGTGGGGAATGCTCTGTCCTGCAGGTGAATTCACTCCCATTCCAGTAGCTTACAGTCCAAGCATTTCTAACTGTGCTGTGCTTAGAAGCACTTTGGTTTTGAGCTTTTTTGACCACATGGTGATTTTAGTTCTCAAAGCAGTAAATTATTGAGTAATTCATTTAACTCTTCCATCTGAACCAAAATCTTTCACTTAGGGGCAGCATGGGAAATATTTGCTAACCCATTGCATTCCTGCAAATACAATTAAAAGGGAGAGTAATTAATTGCAGCATTATTGGTACAATTATTTAGAATAGTAAGTTCAATAATAAATATTGTGCATTTGTAGATTAAAATAGTTTTGCTTGGTATTGTTTGGTCTTTAAATCTTCTCTCCCATCTAACTGATTTTTCTTTTCTATTTTTTAATGTTCAGCCAAAAGCTCTTAAACTACTAGGGATGGAGGTAAGTTGGATTTGTTGTAAAATACTGGTTTATCAGAACATTTCTTGGTTCAGTTCTGTTCTTCCTCTTAACTTTTTCATTATGACTTTAAGCAAATTTCAGCTGGACAGATATTCCATTTTGCAAACATTCTATGAAATACTTCTGACCATTTTTTAATGAGTAGATCCTTAGAACTGCTTAAAGCTCTGCTCTGTAGTCTTCAGGCAGTTTTTAGCACTATTATGTAATAACATGTTTCATGTTGGAACACCCTGTAGATTTAATCATTCCTGTGTGAGCACTGATGATATTGAAAAGAGAATGGGATCCAGCAGTGCTACTTATACTGAAATCCCCTTTAACCAGGAAATAGCAGTTTCTGGGCTAATGATGTTTTATCACTGAGAAAACCTTTACCTGGAGTGAAAAGTCAAGGTGGTCTGACAGGTCAGATGCTGCTCTCCACTGTCAAACATCTTGCTGCTGCGATGGCACCGTGCTTAGTAAATGATGGGCCAATCCAGAATGTGGGGCCGGCTCCTGCGTCAATTATTTGTGTGTCTGCAGAAATCTGTAATTGAGCAGAAACAAATCTGGGATGATGCCTAAAAACTCTCTCTGTTTTGGTGGTAGTTGCTTCTGTTTCTGAAAAAAAAATACTGCCATAGACCAGGCAGTATATCATTATAAACTCCTCTCCACCTGACAGCAGGTATAGCCCACTCTCCTCTCCCAAAAGAATGAAAAAGTGAAAAGAAAAATTAATATTTCTTCTGCTGAAGTGGGCAGTAAATTGATGTGACTTCAATTGTTTTGGGTTTTTCATTTTCCTTTTCAGTATTAGCATCTCTAAAGGAGGAATTTTAGACTTGTCAACACTTTGTCTTTCTTACCCAGGGTTTTTTTATTACTTGATTTTCTTAGTGTGGAGGAGATCTAATTTTTGGTCCTCCATTTGAGATTTTATGTCCTGTGCTTCAGAGAGGCTCGACACTTCTTTGTGTAATTAATGACCCCTGAATTTCTGTAGGAGACAGAGGTCACCACTTGCAGTTCTTAAAGCTGCTGAAGGAGAAGTGCATGCTTAATTGCTGACTGAGGAGTTGTCTTTGGAAGCCTGGGGTGTGAGGCTGAACTCTGAACTTGAATTTAAGTTCAATTTTTTTTTTGGAAAATAATGTTTTGCTGAAAACAAGAACTGACTTAGTAGAATAGCAATTGCTTTTACTTGCAATCCACTTCTGAGCTGGAATCCAGGTCTAGAGTGATGATGAGCTGTGTCTACACCTATATTTGCAATGTTCTTCCTACATTATTTAGACCCTAATTTTCCCAATCATGGCTTTTCTCCCTTCAGGATCCTGCTTCACTGTCAGTACTTCCCTTCAGTTCCTTCCATCCTCCCTATCCCTTTAAGACATGGGATCCTTATACCTTCCGTTTGCACTGCACACATAAGAGGAGATTGCTTATTCCCAGGTGAACACTCCCTTTGGTATCTCGCTGTTCTCAGGGGCTCTGTCTGCCCCTCTTTTCCTTGTGCATGTCCCCACTCCAGCTGCATGTGGGAACCTGAGAGCTGTGCAGGTGTCCCTGAGAGCTGTGCAGGTGTCCCTGTGAGCTGTGCAGGTGTCCCTGAGAGCTGTGCAGGTGTCCCTGAGAGCTGTGCAGGTGTCCCTGTGAGCTGTGCAGGTGTCCCTGAGAGCTGTGCAGGTGTCCCTGTTCTGCAGGGATGGACACAGACATGTGGAATGGGAAATGGCAGGGCAGCCCATTCACAGGGAATGGCCCAGCTGGTGCACTCCCACACGTGCAGATGTGTGCACAGTGCAGTGGGAAGGGGTGCCTTCCCAACCAGAGGCTCCTGCTGCCCCTGTGCAGGAGGGGTGACTCGCAATTCCTGGCTGTAATCTGAAGCTGTGTGTGCCTGCCCCGTGCATGCTTGTGTCCCGGGTCCCAGACGTCCCCTGCCACTGGCTCACTGCAGCAAACAGCAGAACCAAGTCAGAGCTCTAGGGATTAACGTGTCCTCTCAGTACCTATTCTCTGCATGGTGGGCTGCTAAAGACTGATGGCAACAATTTTTCTCCTTTCTTCCCAGGATGATGAGCCTCCCACCAAAGGGAAGAAGAAAAAGAAAAAAAAGGAGGAAGAGATTGACATTGATGTGGATGACCCCGAAGTGAGCCGCTTTCAGTACCCCTTCCATGAGCTGATGGTGTGGGCCGTGCTGATGAAGCGGCAGAAGATGGCCCTCTTCCTCTGGCAGAGAGGGGAGGAATCCATGGCCAAGGCACTCGTGGCTTGTAAGCTCTACAAGTCTATGGCCCACGAGTCCTCTGAGAGTGAGCTGGTGGACGACATCTCTCAGGATCTGGACAACAACTCCAAGTTAGTAGATGCAGAACAGACTTGATATCTACTCGATACAAGGGGTTGTGTGACCTGCTGAGAAGCTTTACTTTTAGTAAAGTGCCATTTATTCCTAGAATATAGTCACAAAAAAGGCCATTTGGAGCCAATTTACAACAATATACAAGGCAAAACATGGTCTCAGTATCGCAAGGCAGCACTAGCAAGGAGAAGACTCACATTTATTTCAGACAGAATGCATTCTTTTTTCAGCTCCTCTCTCTGTAAAACTAGCTAGTTTTACTTCACAAAGTTATTTTCAGATTTTATTCGTGTAAATTAAGGGGTATCTGATGATCTGTCTAAACTGGCCTCAAGATGTTACAGGTCTAAGCAAATTCTCTCTGGTCATTAATTTGTTTGAAGCAAATCAAGCTTGAGACTCGGTTGTTCTTGTCATTGTACATGTCTGTGGATAAACATGATGCCCTGTGAACAGAATTAAAACCACAAGTGCAAGCAAACACTGATTTCTAAGTCTAACTTCCCCAGACTTCTCTTGTATTTTGCAGAGATTTTGGCCAGCTGGCTGTTGAGCTCTTGGATCAGTCCTATAAACATGACGAGCAGATTGCCATGAAACTGCTGACCTACGAACTGAAAAACTGGAGCAATTCTACCTGCCTGAAACTGGCTGTGGCAGCCAAGCACAGGGACTTCATCGCTCACACGTGCAGCCAGATGCTCCTGACGGACATGTGGATGGGGCGCCTGCGCATGCGCAAGAACCCCGGCCTGAAGGTACCTGCGAGCGAGGGCTGGGGGCACCAACACTGCCCTGGGCACAGTGGCTCACTGGGGGGAGATTCTTAAGAACAGAATCTGTTTTAATGTCGATTGCTTTTCCAAAATCAGCGTGTCTAAGGAATATTACCCCATGATGAAGGAAAATACAACTCCATAAAAGACTTGACGTGACTGGAATAATCTGAGAGAGAAGCTGTGGCTTTCAATAAAGCATGAGATCTGTTAACTGAGAACATATTCATTTGATTAAAAATTAGTTGGAGACAAGCAAAAAGATCTGCATTAGGGATCCATACAATGGGAAGGAAGATAAAATGAACCAGATGTGGGCACAAGTTTTTATATTGTTCAGTATTGTACCAGCAGACACAGAGCCGACTCAGTGTCACACAGAGTGAAATCTGTGCAGTTGCACTGTGTGAAACTGTGATTTTTATGTTGCTCTTCTGTGATTTGATGATGCAGTCTCTCTTACTGATTGTAGTATTTCCAAATTGTTGGATTTACAAAAAAAAAGAGTGATGTGATAGGGCTGACACAAAGAGAAAGGTCAGTGAGTCAATGTTCAGGAAGCAGAGCAGTGCTTGCTTGTGTTTGTTTACATATGAATACAATCCTTCCCTTGCTGTGTCATGCACTTGCTGTCACCCCTCTGGAGGCCCCTCCTGTTGGTGCTGCCTTCAGTCTCCCCTCCTCATTTCCTCAGCCCCCCCTTGCTGACAAAGCGCCGTACCTGTCTTTGCGGGTCGTGCTCCCAGGTTTGCTGACACACACACTGCACTGTCTCTGTCCTCCTCAGTTTATTTCCACCTTCCCATGTCTCCCTCTTAAAACTGTTTAAAATCTTCAGACAAGTGTCCTGCCTTTCAGATTGCATCATGGTTCTTTCTAAATCTGTTTATTATTTTCCTTTCTGTTCTCCAAAGAATTAATCAGCCTCCTGATGTTCTGGTTTCATCAGCTGCATTCTTTTCTCTGCTCCTTTTCTGTACTTTGTGTTTCTGTATCCAAGCAATCTCATATAGTAAAAGAACTCCCCCAGTGCTATCTGCAAAGCTTCTTTTACCTTTCATAGGGTTTTTTAAACTATTAAAACTAGTTATAATAGCTAACTAAAGTTACTATAAATTCCAGTAACAAACATGAACCCTCTTCTAACCACCTTTGTGTCTATTCCACAATGTTTCTATACACAACCCTAATTTAGGAGCACAGTTTCTTAATTGCAGGGTGTTGGTGGAGATGGGAGGCTTTTCAGGGTGCCGTATTTTCCCAGAGTACCTTATTGCTTCATGTGAACTACTCACTCATTTTTGTAGTTTGAGGATAGCACAATATCTTGAATACTCTACAAAAGAAAATTTTGTTTATGGGATTTGCCTTGTTATGAAACCTGTAATGTAAAAGAATATTGAGTTGAATTCTTTCCTGTTTCCAGGTTATAATGGGCATTCTCTTCCCTCCCACCATCCTTTTCCTCGAGTATCGCAGTTATGATGATTATTCCTACCAGACATCACGAGAAAATGAGGAAGGCAAAGAAAAGGAGGAGGAAAATGCGGTCAGTAATGGAGAGTATTAGAAAGTTCTAATATCTCAAGAGTGCTCAGTTTTCTGGCTTCTCTGATTATGCTATAGGTCACTCAGGTAAATCTCAACTGCCTCTGGGGGATAAAAACCAGTGGAGAGTTTGGGGAATGTCCAGGCTGGATTCTAAGGGCATGTAAATTGTCTGTGTAGTTCCACAGGTTTACAGAACTGCTGGTTTTGTATTTTGGAAAAGAGTGTGTTGCTCAGGGGAATCACTGCAGAGTTATCAGTTGGCTGAGGCTGTAGCTGAGGAAAAGCTGCTATTTTTACAGCTATATGTTGATGGAACCTGACAACTTTGTCTTCCAGGATGCAAATGCAGACACAGGCTCCCGGAAAGGGGATGAAGAGAATGGAAAGAAAAAACAACAGAGCCTTCCAATTGGAACAAAGATCTATGAATTCTATAATGCACCTATTGTCAAATTCTGGTTCTACACGGTAAGCCATGATTATATGGACAGGGATCGTTTTTCCCACACCTGTGAAACCGAAAGGATTCCAATGTAAAAATAATAACCAAGTAGTAAATAAATACAGTACTGACTTCCACAGGATCTGAGGAGTAAAGCACTCCCTTTATTTAGAGAAAAAGGCAGGGACAGGGAAGCAGAATGGATAACTGAAGCTGGTGCTGGCAGCCTCTAAAGCTCCCCCATGCCTTGTGTGACTCATCACCCACCAACCTCAGTGCAAGCTCCTCAGTGCAGTCCCTCAGTCCAAACTAGGCTGGATTCTCTTGCTTTCTAGAGGTCCTGCTTCCTGTTCTGCACCGAAATACACTTTAGGACCCAAGAAGAGATCCCATGGTGACAGTGCTTGCCATTTGCTCTGCTGCTCACACAAGGGCAGCCCAGATGGAAGCACAAATCCCAGTCTGCTAAGCCTTAATAGGTACTTTTATTTAAATAATTAAAACCAATCTAAATGAAAATACTTACATTTGACAAGCATCTAATTTTCTGTTAAGACCATCAGGAATTATCTGGTGCCAAACTCTGTTATAATAAACCAGAAAATGTATAAATGCTACTGCTTATTCATTCTGTGTGTGCCCTGGGCACTGGTTTCTTTTTTATTCCAAGTTAGGATGCTGGATACCTGGGAGGTCATAATAATATATAGGTTTTTAGTTTTAGCACCTTGTAATCACAAAACACTGCACTGATTCCTTTCTGCTGCCTGTATTAATAATCTAAATCCAGAATTACTATTTAATTTCAAAGAGAAGTATTCAGCACGATTTCACAGGGTAAAGAAATTGCTTTTTTGTAGATTAAAAAAGTCTCAGGCACAAATGGCCTGATTTAGAGGGCTTTAGAATTGCTGTTTTGCTTCCTTGAACAAATGAGATCATTCAGCTGCCTGGATCATGTGTTCCACACATCTCTGATTCCTCCAGCTGCTGGAGGCCTGTGGGCTCTGCCAGCCTGCCTGGCAGCTCTGGAGGGGCACTGCAGGAGTCCTGCTTCCTTCAGAGCAGAACATCTTCCTTCCTGGGCAAGGAAGGGTCTTCAGCAGCTGAATATTTCACACAGAGCCTCAACTATGGCTTTGTGCATGTGTGAATGTCACAATGAGCAAAATGAGTGGGGAAATGAATGCAGGAGGCTTTGAATACTGCCTGACTGTGGAAGAATCCTGGGATTTGTCACCTAGAATACAGAAAGGATTTCTTTTTTCTTTGTAGATATCGTACCTTGGTTACTTGATGTTATTTAATTATATCATCTTGGTGCGGATGGAGCGGTGGCCATCGGTCCAGGAATGGATTGTCATCTCCTACATTGTGACCTTGGCTCTGGAGAAAGTGAGAGAGGTAAAGTCTGACCATGCCCACACCTCCCAGCCCTGACAACGGTAATGCATGGACTTGTGCTCAGGGTTGAGAAGCCAAATACAAGAGAGAAGATTCCCCTTTTCCCAGTCCCAAAGTGCCCTGTCACTGCAGAGTTACAACCCTTCTCTAACCCATTTCCATGCATTAACCCCTTCTCTCCCTGGGCACAAACTCAGGCAGAGGTGCCCTGTGTTCAGTGTATTTCATGACAAGGGGCAGCAGTTGTGAGCTGAAAGAAAGTGGGTTTCAATTGGACAGAAAGAAGAAATTGTTTATAATGAGGGTGGGCAGGCCCTGGCACAGGTTTCCCTGAGAAGCTGAGGATGCCCCATCCCTGGAACTATCCAGGGCCAGATTGGATGGGGATTGGAGCAACCTGGGCTGGTGGGAGGTGTCCCTGCTGATGCCAGGGTGTTTGGACTGGATGCTCTTCATACATCCCTTCCAACACAAACCATTTCATGATTCTATGAAAAGGAAATCTTGCCTGCCAGTAATTAAAATATTCTTGCTTGAAATAAATTCTTCTGACAATGAGGGGGTCTCAGACACCTGTTGCACATGACATGTTTCTGGTCTTTTCTCATGAACATTACTTCAAAAATGTAAGTTGGAGTTTTTCCTAATGATTTCTGTGTTAAATGTTTTTCTTATGTTTTTTGTTTGTTTGTTTGTTTGTTTTTTATTTCAGATTCTGATGTCAGAGCCTGGCAAGCTGAGCCAAAAAGTCAAAGTTTGGCTCCAGGAATACTGGAATATTACTGACCTGGTGGCTATTTCAGTATTTATTATAGGAGCAATTCTTCGCCTGCAGAACCAGCCTTACATGGGTTATGGCAGAGTGATTTACTGCGTAGATATCATTTTCTGGTACATCAGAGTACTGGACATCTTTGGTGTGAACAAATATCTGGGACCTTACGTCATGATGATTGGAAAGATGGTTAGTGCCTGAATTGCTATGAATGATGTATTTCAGAGCTTCATGGGGAACTCAATTCCTTTCTGCTTTAGAAGGAGGGTTTCCATCGAGAGGGACTCTGAATAAAGCCTGGGAAAAGTTGCCATGTGAATGTCACACACACTCAAGATGTAGTAAGTCTTGCAGTAACAGATTGCAGATACACCAGGATCACCCACAAAACCATCAGTTGTGGGCAGGAAATGATGAAGAGCTGATCTAACAGTTACTGTGCAACCCCAGAAGAGACCTGTGCCGAGAGCACAGCACAGTGCACTTGATGCGAAGGAGTACAGGGATAGCAAAGACTTCAGCATTTAAAGTATAATAATAAAATAAAAATTATTAAAAATAATATTAAAATAAAAATATAATTATAATTCCTTTAAATAACTGGGGGTTTCTGCATTTTTATATGTGCCTAATTCCTGAGCAGTAGAAGGTCAGTGACCAGTGTGGGGAGGATTGTCTGCTGGTGTTGCCTCGTTTCAGGAGTGCTGGCACACACCCCTATGGTGCTGCTGTGCCATCTGGGGTGACCAGACCTCTCTGTGCTCCGTCCCTGCAGATGATTGACATGCTGTACTTCGTGGTCATCATGCTCGTGGTCCTGATGAGCTTCGGGGTGGCCCGCCAGGCCATCCTGCACCCCGACGAGGAGCCGTCCTGGAGGCTGGCGCGGAACATCTTCTACATGCCCTACTGGATGATCTACGGAGAGGTGTTCGCTGACCAGATAGACCGTAAGAGTAGAATTCATAGTAAGAGTCTGTTTCCTGTTTCTGAGGCAGATGATCAGATCCAAATTAAAGACTTTTTCTCTTAATTTGGAGGCAGTGTTTTCTCCTTATGATTACGTTGTTGTTGTTTTCTTGTGACCCACCTGGGACAGAACAATTTTCTGTTCCCCACCTGCATGTCTTGCCTCTCAGTTTATATTCAAATTCAGTTAACACTGACAGTGATACAGTCTGGAGGATTCTCCTGTCCAGGAGTATAACAGTGTTAAGATCCCTGTTTACTTGCAGGGATCAACAAAGATCATTTTGAAATGTTCTTCTGAACCAAAGTTTTACCAGTAGTTCCAAGAGAAGAAGAAAAACATAAATACCTTGCACAGGAAGTTAAAACACACATATCCTTTCATCTCCAGCTCACAGCACAGGCAAGGAGCTCATGCATTTTTACTCTCATCCATGCATCTGTCTGCTTTCAGAAATATTTCCATTTCATGAATCACCAGTGTTCTTCTTTTCTACACCTGTGGGAAAACAAAACTCTGCTTGATTAGCTTTGGGTGAGGAAATAGCCTTTCTTATAAAAAAACCTGCATAGTTTAAGAAAATGGCTGTTAATGTTTGAAAGGAGATGGAAACTGTCCTGTTACTGCTAATTGTGAGTTAATATTGCAGATTTGTCCGACAGTCAATGTGCAGCTGGCCTCCTCTAGTGTGTATCCTGTAGTCTGCACTTTACCTGAAATAGTTCAAGCTGCTGTTGCAGCTCTGTGTGGGTGTTCTTTCAGTCATTTGCATATACTGACAGGTAGGAAGGTGGAAGGCTGATGAACCTGGAGGTCTGCCTTCAAAAACCATAAAGATCTATCCTCAAGGGAAGCTTTTACACCAAATGTCACTACAATGCACTTCAAATGCTTAGAAAGGAATAAAATGGCATTGCTCTGTTTCTGAACAGTGTAGCCTGTTGCAAAAATCATATCCTCTTTGTTTTCCCAATGAATGCTTGTCTCATTAGTGGAACTTATGATACAGTAAATTACTTGATGAAATGAAAGGTCAAGGCAATCATTCACTGTCTGATAGTGCAGGTTTGGTGCACAGGAGAGGTCCTGAGCTTCTCCAGGCTCAGAAATGGGTCAGAGAAGCCTGGTTGAGTTTCTTTCAATAGTGTGAGTTTTCTTGCAATCAGCATTTAGGAACTGGCAAACAATTATCCATACTGGTCAAAATGGGCTGTAATGATACTGATGTTATTACAGTGTACAACATCTTGACTATTAATGGAAACATAGCTATTCAAAAGAAACATCTGACAGACTGAAAGGCTGGTTCTTAAAAAAAAAAAAGGAAAGATAAAAAAGGGAGGATATGTTTCCATAATAGCTAAAAGAATGATTTTGTGTGATAGTTTCGAGTTGTTTCGTGTTCGTGGTGACACCAGTTTTGTTTAGTTGCCTGAAATATCTTGCATATTTAAATGATCATCTGCCAGGAGCATTTTGTGATATTTTATGACTGTCATTAATTTGCTGCCATATGTAACACTTGGGGGAAACAGCATGCAAAGGAAATTGCAGAATGCAATGCATTTTTACCAAAGACATTGTTTTTAGGCACATATCTCTACTGTTCTGACATCTGAGTTGCTTATCTTTTCTTGGCAGCAGAACTGTGTTTTCAGTTGGGTTTTTCGGGGTTGTTTCTTTATTATTCCCTCTCTTTCTCTGCTTGCCTCCTTTCCTCTTTGGTTGCTGGGAATGCTCTTCAGTCTACGCCATGGAAATCAATCGTAAGTGTCTGTGGGGAGCTGATTATCTCATTAGCTGAATATGTTCATTAATCTTTTTCTTGACTAGTTTCTCACATTTTAATTATAGAACTCATCCAGTACTCAGATGTGAATCTTGTCTTATCTACTGTAACACTTTCATTTGAAAATAAGCAGAGGAAAAACATTTTATTTTAATACTGAGTGCAGATCAGAGGTTTTAATTGGGTTTATGTGGTTGTAAGACTTGTTTCTAGTACACCAACAGTAAAATAATCAAGCTTTTTAAATTATGATGCATAAGTGGTGTTGTAGAACTAATTCCCTTTGATTAGGTAGATACAATGTTACTGGGGGTTTGTCAGTACTTTCACTGGTCCTTTTGAATAAAATCACAATTTTATACTTAACATTTATACTATTCTTAGGAAATCCTGGAAAAATATAGGTCTGATGTTTGGGAAGCAAGTAAAATAAATATTATTAATTATAGTCTAAATATCTCTTTCAGTCCACAGGAAATAAGATTAGTCTGTTTTCAAATTAATTAAAATGTTTTTCAGGTGAGGTTGAAACACTGAGGTTTTTTGCAGAACATTTAAAAACACTGTGTTTTCTGGTCACATAAACTAAATCTGTGATGACTTTCATGTCAGACTTGGTATTTGCTAAGATTTCAGCTGAAGAACCTGTGGCTGATAAACACTTTACCTGCTACTGAATGGTTCCAAAAGCTAGCCTTGTGTTTGCAATCAGGTATGCTGGCACCTACAGACAGAGCAAACCTGCTGCATTTACCCAGAGAAAGCCACATTGTACAGCAAATTTGGAGCTGCCTGTCTCTTCACTAATACAGGAAATTGTTTTTAGAAGCTGTAGGTAGAAGCAGAATTTGAAGTAGAAATTACACATACTTGCTACTGGAAATAAACTGACAAAATCTGGCAAATTTTATGCATGTCTCATCATTAAATAAATGGAAATAGTGTTTTTAAATATCAGGCAGTTTGTGAAAAATGTCTTTCCTGTTTTTTCTGCAGCTCCCTGTGGGGACAATCTCTATGATGATGATGGTAAACGCCTCCCTCCGTGTATACCAGGGGCCTGGCTCACTCCTGCCATCATGGCCTGTTACCTCTTGGTGGCAAATATCCTGCTGGTAAACCTGCTGATTGCTGTCTTCAAGTACGTAAATGATCATGGATCTTTTTCTTATTGTTGTTTCTTATTTCTTAGAGAACCCATCAACTGATTTTGCAAGAGTTTGGTTTCAGAGTCTGCTCTGGGTATGACTGGCACAGCCTGGCAGTGTGAACACTGGGCAGGAGGGCAGGAAAGGTGCCTTTAGTTTGCCAGCAGGTGCAGTCATGTACAGGGGACAATCTGGCTCCCTGCAGTTACCTGTTAATGGATAGTGACAGGCCTCAGGATTGCTCTGGAAAGAGGAGAAACAGGATCCATGAAAGCTGCTCCATCCAGGATAAAGCCCATGGAGCCACTGGCTCTGCCATGGAACGGCACAAACATCTCAGCCTCCAAAGCAGGAGGCATTCCCACTACACCAGCTGGCTTTTCTGCATTCTTCCTGTTTTGTTTTTCATTTAGAAAAGGAAAATAGGGCCTTGCAGAATTCTTAGAAGACCCAAAAAAAGATTCTGTATTGCCTGAACCAACAGGAAGGATGGCTACCCATTGTCAAAGTCTGTGGCCAAGCAGTGTGCACTATCTATATTTATCTCTATATTTAGTCTACTCTGGAGTAAAATTACATCAATTTCTGCTGCTTGTTCTTCCTACCTACTGTTCCACTGCATGGTTTTCCTCTCATGACCTCGGGATTAGAAAAGAAAAAAAAAGGAATAACTCCTTGCTGGTAATACTTTCTGAACACTCCACCTGAGAAGAGCAGGTGATCCATTTTTGCTGTTGGCACAGGTAGCTGATGTCACAACACAAAAATAGCCCAGCTGTGCCCAGAAGGTGCGGCCCACAGAGCCTGTCTTTCATTGGATGGAGGGAGCTTAAAAGGTCAGGAATTTCCAAGCGCTGGAATGCCAGTGCTGAGCAGAAGGGAAGGCTCTTACAATGGCAGCTATTATTGGCTGAAGGACCAAGGAATCAGCACTTTGGGAAGTAGGTCATGCTGTTAACTCCTGCCAGCCCAGCGGGGTGCAGGGGCTGGGATCCTGCTGGAAAGCAGACACAGAATGAAGGTAGATTGTTATTTATCACTGGTAAATAACCTCATGTACCTAACCTAGAGAAAGCAAAAGCTCTGTGCACGCAGGAATTCTTTGGTTTCAGAGAGATGTTTTAACTGGTTTTATGAATGGAGATACTCTAAAGCACATGAAGTTAGAAAAGAAGTGGACAGAAAATATAAAAAAGGAAGTGCAAATATACATCTCCATCATACAAGTGGAGTGAGCTGTCTGAGAATACTTTGAAATACCTTGGAAAGTTTTTTCAAAGACAGAATATCAAGTCTGTTTTCCCTTAGTTGGTATTTCATAACCGTGACTATTGTTATCCCTGGATTGAATACTATCACTTATATTCCTTCATATCCACTGAATTTCAAAATAAACCATCTTTACAATGCACCTTATTTTGCTGTAAAAATGAAGAGGCTGCCAAGAATAAATTTCTTTACAAGAATATGCACCACGTTTTCAAGTCAGAAGTTTGAGTGAACAAAGTTTAAATTTAGGACATTTTGTGAAACTTGAAAAGTCTTCTATGTAGGTCAAGCTGATTAACATATTAAAGGCAAACTATGTGAAGCTTCTGAGTTTAGCATGCAAAATACTTTTCAGGGATTTAATACTTTGTGTAGCATCAAATACTGGCGTGTGGTAAAAGAAATAGTTCATAACCAAGCCCCAGAATAGCAATTCTGTGATGCACAGATTGTGCAAGTCTCCTTTCACTGACACCTAAAGGATTTCTGCAGCAGGAGCAAGTGATCCCAGAGGGCTGTTCTGGGGGTGCAGAAGGGCTGCAGAGCACCTGCTCTTTGCTGCCCTCAGAAGCAGTGAATTCATGAATTCAGTGAATTGTCAGTTCAGTGGCACTGACGAGGAGCTGAACCAAGCAGGTGCTGTGGCTCCATGTTGTCATTTAGCTGCTGCTTTTTTAACAGAGTACTTGCTCGATGCTACGTGAAATTAGGAACCTGATAGCAACTGTACCCGTTTCCTTTCAGCAATACTTTCTTTGAGGTAAAATCGATATCCAACCAAGTGTGGAAGTTCCAGCGGTACCAGCTGATCATGACGTTCCACGACCGGCCTGTGCTGCCACCACCCATGATCATCTTCAGCCACATCTACATCATCATCAAGAGGATCTGCTGCCGCTGCAAGAAGGGAGATGGGGACCAGGATGAGCGGGACAGGGGACTGAGTACGTGAGAAATCTTCTCTAAACTGAGCTCTTTGCACCCTCTCAGCAGAAAGCCCCAGCTTGCCCAGCACTGAACTCTTTGGTTCAGGTGTACAATCGAGTGGATTTGCAGGAGACAGTGGGGGCCAAGATTTGTATCATGTTAACAGCTCTTGGGCTCGGGGGCATCTGAGAACATGCAATTTTATGATGCTAATGAAGACTTTCTTTAATGTGCTTTCCTGAAACAGTGCGATGGTATCCACTCAATCCAGTGGGTTACCAAGTTCTAGCAAAGTCCATGTTGGGAAGGGCAAGTAGGAAATTGAGAAGAAAGGATCCCAGTTTCAAATGTCATCTAGAGTGTCATCTCTGTGATTGTAAGCAACCTGTGACTAAGAGTATTCCCACTATCATTTGGAGATTTATCTGTCATTTCACAGGAGAACTGTGAGGAGACTTCTCCTAACCTACCCTGTAACTGTTAATTATTATTTTCATTATATACCTCATGGAAATAATCACATATTCACAATTATCCCTATATTTCTGCATGTCACAGGAAACATTTTTGCACAATAGGAAAAAAAAAAAAAAAGGAAAAAGTTAAATGGAACTCTCCTTCCAAATGCAAAGAGACAAATCCACATAAAGGATAAAATGTTCCCAAGAACTTATATTCCCCTTGGGTTTTTCTTAGATGATTATAAATTTCTGAACATCGTATCCAAAGAATATCTGTGAACAATCTGTTAGTTTATGTGTTGCCTGCAACAATATTTCAGTGAAGGAACACTTAAACTGGCAGAGCTTGCCTTAGTCTTTGTCTTGTAAAGGCTGCTCAGTTTGTTCAAGGCACGGCACTTGCTGGTAAGAAGTGCAGAAGTCACTGAGAACACACAAGCCCCAGTGGATGGTCAGTGATTCCACTGCCCTCACAGCTGGGCCTGTCTCTGGCTACCTGCTCATTCCCTGGTTAAAAAATCAGCTGTCCATTCAGTGCAGGAGCACAGTCTGCAATGTGCCCATGTCCAAAATAAACTGCCAAACTGAATTTAAATTGACTACCAGAAGTTCAGAAAAACTCCTATTTTGTTCTCTTTTGCACAGAGTTATTTCTGAATGATGAAGAGCTAAAAAAACTGTACGAGTTTGAAGAGGAGTGTGTAGAAGAATACTTCCAGGAGAAAGAGGATGAGCAGCAATCCTCCAACGATGAACGCATCAGAGTTACTTCTGAAAGGTACTATTATAAGGAAAAAACCCACACCATTTTTCTGGAACAGTATTTGCTTTTTTGTATCTCTTTGTAACCACAGTTGAGTTAAAAAACAAAGATTCAGATCTTGAAGAAAACCACCCGAACTCAGAAGGTGATCTGAATCCCAGGTAAGTATTGTGAGCAGGTGCATCTGTCACAAGAGCAAGCTTGGTGTTGTTCCTGCTGGTGTGTCACTGAGTCTGCTGGTTTGGGTAGCTTTGTTGTAAGAGTGAATTTTTTTACCTCTCACCCATCTGAGGATCACAGTTAGAATTTCTATCTATCTGAGTTTCCAGCAGTTCATCCAACCATGAGAAACATGTTGGAAATTAATGACAAAAGCGCTGAAGGTTCTTCCCTTGGACCTGTGGTTTACACTGAGGTCTGGCACCCACAGCTGCTGAATTTCTAATTTCTGCCACAGATTATCTGGGAAGCTTTGAACAAGGCATTCAGCATGAACTTCCCCTTTTAAAAGGCAGGGAATATTCTCATGTAAATCATGAGGCTATTCTGAGGCCTAGGTAAGGTTTGCATGTTGCTGTGTAAGCACACAGTGGTAATGGCAGCAGGGCTTTGTTACCAGGTCACTGCTCCCAAAGCCTCTGCCTGTTCTGGTAGGACCTGTAAGTAACTCAGGAGATGGGGGGTTTTGTCACTTCCTTGAAATGATGAAAAATTCTCCCTGTAATAAAAGTTATACACAGTTTAAACCCTCTTTCACCTCAATCTACTACATGGTATTCTGATGATGAAGTACTCCATATACATATTTCTCTATATATCTGTATACATCTATATCAATATTTATATATATCTTCCTTTTAACATTTCTTTTAAAATAGCTCTGTGAGCCATATAATTCTTTAACAGCTAAGTATCTTTCTCTTGACAGAGGCCCTGAGCATCTTGCATTATTAAATGTGAAATTTGAGACTAGAGAAGGAAATTAAATCTGCTCCATGTATTTGAGTAGTTTCTCTCTCACTCTATCCATGGCTATTTGTCAAAATCCTTGGTATTGTGGCAGAGAATAAAGCAAGGCTGGTAAGCCTGACTGATTTTCTATGGTCTATGGCCACAAAGCAGATTTGCTTATTTCTCATGGCTTCTTGCTCCAGATGCTTCATCATCTTTTGTGTGTGAGAGCAAAAGGATGTGATTTCATTTCCACAGTTGATTTACTAGGTCCCTAAGTCACATTCTAATGAATTACTTTTATATGCATTTTTCTAGTACCATCACATCCATTATGATATAAATGATAAGAGAAAATGGGAAAAAGTGCTATTGTAATTGAGCTGGATGATAGTTCCACTGCCTTCAGCTGATACAGAATAGAAGGGTATTTCAAGAGCTAAAGCAATCTCATCAACACCAGCATATGTTCTCTCTCATACAGCTGCAAAACCTGGTTTGCAACATGCTTTGATGCTATTTTAAGTCGCCCTGGGAGCATGTCATTAGAAAGTGCTTTTCATGTAATTAACTGATGCTTCCCAGTGAAAGGACAGCTGAGCGTGCGGTGGGTGGCATACACAGAAGTGTTTATATAGACTGTCCCTAAGGGCTACAGCTCCTGGACTCCTGGCAGGGCAAAGTTCAAATAGCCCTCTAATACAGTGTGTGGAAAGCACAGATAACAAGAAAATGCACATGTTCTGATGCTGCACAGAGGCAAAGAGACTGAGGCAGGGTATGTACCTCACCTGGGCCTTAGGGAGGAATGGGGAGCTGGGAGCCTTTAATGGGTTACTGGCTCTGGTCTGTGCTTCCTCTCTTGTACCCCACAGAGTTGAAAACATGGCCATGAGGCTCGAGGAAGTGAATGAGAGAGAGCATTTTATGAAAGCTTCTCTGCAAACAGTGGACCTCCGTCTGTCCCAGCTGGAAGAGCTGTCTGGCCGGATGGTGAATGCCCTGGAGAAGCTGGCGGGCATCGACAAGTCGGAGCTGACGTACCCGCGCTCGCGGGCCTCGTCCGAGTGTGACGCTGCTTACCTGCTGAGGCAGAGCAGCGTCAACAGCTCCGACGGCTACAGCCTGTACAGGTACCAGGTGGGGGGGGACGAGCTAACCCTGGATGACAGCACTCCTATGTCACCAGCCATGGCCATGAGGAGGAAAGCCCACTCCATTGGCACCAGAGAGGATGGAACAGACTCAAGAATGCTGGTTCCAGAACACCACGGCAGTCCCCATCACAGCCCTAGTGCTAATGCAGTCACCACAGCAGAGCACAGTAAATCTACACTAGATATTGCACAGAGTGATTCCACACCCCTTTCTCGGTCAGGTGGCTCGGGGGATGAAAAGCAGACGATTTTCAGTAGCAATGGAATGATCCCTCAAAGTATAAACCAGATGGATGCTGTTCCAAACAGTCAGTCAGCAGCAGGACCGGATTTTCAGAACACTCAGTTAAAAGTAGAACGTACCAAGTTAGAAGCCACCATCTCTTATCCCTTGGAAAAATCTAAAGCAGTGCGCTACTTCCCTCCTGAAACTTTCAGTGCTTGTCAAACCACCATGATGAAGTCAAGGAGCTTTATATTTGCACAAGGGGGGACGCTGGTTGGAGGAGTTAACAACTGGACCACAGAGTACAGCACCATTATGGACCAGGTGTGCCCTTCCACCATTGAACACTGGGCCACAGAGTGGAAATACGAAGTTGAGCAGCAGCTTTCTCAGGAACGGCCTCCAGAGTACCCCGGGCTTGTCTCTGAAGCAGAAAGGCAAGCAGAGGAGAAGCAGTTACAGATGGACACAGATGATGACAGTAATGCTGGTGAAGCAGGTGTGAGTGCCTCTTACACCCCTATGCCTGCCCCTGTCAAGGCTGAGAAAGAGAATTTACTGTCAGTGAAGCCAGAAAGGACTCCTGGGCTCCCACCAGTACGTTCCAAGAGTTTGCACAGCCATTCTCGGAAAGCCAAGTCTGTAAAGGACAAATTAAAAAGACCAGGACATGCCAGCAGTGTGACTAATCTGGTTGGACCCTTTGGCAGTGCAAGAGAAGAACAGAAATCTAGGCAAGAAAATGCATCCACAGAAACTGAATGTTAAAGTGGCTTATGGCCCTGCTTCACTGACAGTCAAGACAGCAGCATGGCTAATTGAACAAATTATGGATTTTAAAATTAATTTATACGGAAGAATTTTGGATATTTTTGTTTCTTTCCTTTTAAACTTAATAGTTCTTATATAAAATGCTCTTAAGAGCATAAAAATGTTCTTAAATAAATGCTTGCAGGGTTGGGTGAAAGGGAGGGGTTCTGTCAGGGGCAGATAAAAGGTAGGTACAGTTCACAGATGCTGACAATATAGACCTTTCTTTTTGCCATTTCAGCCTCCCTCATAAGCTCATTTACTGACAAGCTCTTTATGAAAGCTCTTACAGGAAGCACAATATTGTAATAATTTAAATTTTTTTTTTCTTTTTTTTTATTGGAAGACTTCTTAAACTTATACCAGCCCACTTATGCAGCTGGTTTCTTTGTGGCCATGGGGTTTCTTTGTGGCCATGGGGTTTCTTTCAGATCAAAACAAAATTGTTGAAGGCAAGGAAAAATTATGCAGTCCCTTCTTTCCCTTCTAATTTCATGCATGCTGCTTAGCTTCCCCTTCAGAATGGCCCAACATAGCAGTTTTTATCCACTAAAATAGGTCAGAGTGGTCAAATCTAGTTGTGTTTGGAGAAATCTGACCTGGAAAGCTCCATGTAGACATATTCTTAACCTGTCCTTGAATTTAATGGCCTAATCTTGCTTTTAGGGCCGCACCTGTCCTCACCCCAAGCATACTGACAGCCTTAAACTGTTGAAAAACAGTGGTGGTTGTTTCAGAATGGCTGGGGAGATTCTAAGGATGTGAAGTACATGGAGATTTTTATAACACGAATCCAAGATCTTAATTTCTTAAATGCCTGCAAGGAAAAACAAATCAAAACAAAACAGGACAGGTGTTCTGATCAGGTGAGACCAAAATGTAGCCAATCTGTTCTTGAAGCAAATCTACAATGACAAAGTGAGCGTTCATTTTGCACTCTCGTTATGACAATGCATGAGCAACAAGGAACAGTTTCCAGGAGCCAGTCTAAACAAAACATAAATTCTCCAGATGAGAACAGAAGTTCTATACCTTTCCTTGAGTAAATTTCAAAAGCAAATGTCAATGGGGAAAAGGAGTCTTTTCTATCCATGGATGACTAAGACTGGGAACCCACAGCTATTTATACAGATTTACCCTGCACACTTGTCTCAGCAGTGGCATTCTAAGTACTTGGTTTTCAGAGGTTACTTCATAATAGCATGATGTTATTTGTCTCATTCCTCCCTGTTAACTTTTAGGAATTCGGATTTCTCCAGTATTCAGCCCCTCTCTTTGCAGGGGATGCTTGTCATTGAACAGACAAGAAAGAAAATTAGTTAAAGGCATGTTACTTGTTCACAGAATACTGGTCAAAGCTTTATGCTTCACTCATTGACCACCAGACTTATTCAAGTACTATTTTGACTAGACAGAATTTATTTTTTCTCTCACCATCAGCCCCACAGTCTGCAGGGTGGGGTCCTCCTTGATAATGCTGTTTACAGCATTTTGAAATGCAGGGATGGATGGAAGGCTCTATAAATACATTGATGGCATCTGGTTTTTATTGTGTGTATTATGTTTCTGTACTCCATCCATACTTACACCTTGAAGTACTGTTACCAACCTGAATGATCGTGGGAAGTGCATGGACATTTCTGAAAGTTCAGTCATCATTTAGGATGGATTTTTGCCAGCTTGGTCTTATCAGCAGGTTTACTGATTTCACTACTGTTGGAAAACTGTTGACATTTCTCTTTTCATGTGGGTTTCTCCTTCATCTTTAGGGAACTTGGCATTTTGTAAAAACAATGACATCGGAAGTTGTTTAATTCCATGTTTACCTCTGTGTTCCCATTCTGAGCACCTGCACAGCCACTGTGGACACACTGTGTTAAAATAGCCTCCAGTTTGCCGATGCCTTTTATTGTTTGCCTGCACATCCACGGGAGGGGTTCATGAACAGACACAAAGGGATGCAGCTTTCCAGCCGTGCTAAAGCAGCAGTGTGCACTGTGGAGTGGAGTACAGTGTGCTGCATGCCTCTTGTTCCACTGGCTTTATAAAATGTGTGTTCATCAGGCTTCTGACCACTTCATTTGTTTGGCATTCACATTGAAAATTTGTCTGATAGAATGTAGATTTCAAACGGAAACATTTTACCTTTGTATTTATTTAATTCCTTTGTGTAAAAATATTTATAAAGAAACACATGAAAAATATGGTAAGTTAATTCAGTATAACAATTTTTTCACTGTAATATCCAAACGCTTCACGTACCTGTTTGCTCTTATGCAGTACATGGGCCAAATGTTTGCTAAGAAAAGTTTCTTCTTGACCATTTGCCAGTAATTTTCCATAAAATTCTTTATGTGGGGATGATTTTAAGGGCTTGGGATATTTGCTGTGCTCTTGCATAGCATGGAGTGAATGACAACCTCTCTGCCACTAAATGTGAAGTCACCACACTGGCTTTGCAGAGCCATTTCAGCCATTTTTATAAGATTCAGATATGGCTTTGTATGTGCATAGAAGACCAGCAGTAGGTTTGGAGCTCGCTAAACAGAATAATGAGCAGCACATTTGCATGTCTGCCTGCTCTCCTGAACACTGGCTGAGAGGGGGCAGGCAGAGAATTTGCATTTCTGAAGAGCCACGTTTAATACTGCTTTTCAGGAGGGTGTCCCCCCTGCACTGCTGAGTGCTGGTGACTTCACAGCAGTGTCACTGTGAATTGCACTGCCGTGACTTATTGTGTGCTTGACCTGTCGTGAGCCAGGTCGAGCTGGAAGAGTCTGTGCTCTGAGGCTGTGTCTGTGCACAGACATTTTCCTTTCCCTCAAGGCAGATATTTTAAACACAGTGACTAATTGTAATCTTCACAAAGGTAGGTTCATAACCCTCCCAGCTGATTCCATGAATTACCCCTTCCTACCTTGCATCATTCAGAGACCAGCTTAACTTTGCCCTTGCAATCCACCTGTGTTGCAGAGTCATTCTTTCCATTTTAGACACTGGATTTTGATACCTGAGAAGCAAGAAAGTCCATTTTCCATATTACTTACGAATTCATTAAAGTAGCCATTGAAAGCTCCCAACCATGGTTTCTCCATGCCGCTTCTTTGGATGCTTTCCAAGGTTCTGGGCTTGACTATTGTCTTCAGCAAACCATTTATCCATCCTTCTAAACAAAAATAAAAAGAATACAAGTATCTGCAAGGCCTTGTCAGAAAACAGGAGCTTGAGGAGGATGTGTGACCAGGGATGTTACCAGGATTATTTCCTTAGCTCTGCAGGATAATGGGACTGTGCCCTGTTAGGGTGTTCTGGGCAGTGAACCCTGACACAAGGCCAGTTTGCTGCCAAGCCATTGATGGGGAGAGGGTGAGTTTTCAGAGCAACAGCAGCTCTTGGACACGGCCCTGGGGTCCCCCATTTCACTCCTGCAGCACTGTCCTGTCCGGTGGGTCACTTCTGGTTAAACTACAATGACACTCAAAGCTGTTAGGAGCAAAAAGGAGACACACCTTGTTTGTAAAGTCGGGAGTTTACTGTTAGTGTAGTGAATTTTAACACTAATAATATGAATTATTATTAGTCTAGATCTAATAGATCTTCTAATAAGAAGAGAGGAGAGACAAAAAGAGAGGAGAGAAAAGAATGCTACTGTACTACTACAGGAAAAAATACTCAATGAGGTAAAGTTGATTTATGCACACTTCTAATTTCCACCCCTTTTCCTGAGGGTATGTGCACATTTGCTCTGGGTCTAACAGTGAGTGGCTGCAGTGGGATAGTGAGGGAATACTGTCAGCATCCCAGGTTATTTCTAGGGTTAGCATGATGTTGATGTTGTTTGTTTCTGTTTCTTTTTGCTTGCTTAGGGGCAGTTTTATGTTTGCTACAAACTTTATATCTTGGATTTCATCACTGGCCTTCAAATCCTACAATACACTTGAATTTCCTAGTCATTAGAACAATTGCTTTCCCAGCTGAACAAACGCAGGGCCTGCTGGAGGCAGGCTGGGGCAGGTTCAGACAGAGCAGCCCTGACAAGCCCAGTCCTGAGCCCTCCAGAGTCAGCAGAAAGCCCGTGGGCTGATCCTGGCAGTGACAATTAACCCCTGTTTACTGGGCCATGAGGTTACATTAGCCCTAGAGGTGTTTTCCTCTCACTGCAACCATTGCACATAAATATTCTACCACCTAAGCTGAAAACGCAGCTTAACTGGGGGGTTTGGTCCCCCACTGCAATCCAGGATCAGACAGAAAGGCGAAAGTGATGTAAGAATCTGGTTGATGGGGCCATTTAAAGGCCATTTCCACTGGCTCCAGGGACTGGGGGGTTGAGGTAGTCAAAAACCAGTACCCAGCAGCAGTTTGGATTGGCTGACAAACCACAAGACTTGGGAGAAGTAAGACAAAGACCGCAGATTTTCTTAAAACTGCAATTTTCTTTCACTTTTTTCCAACTTTCAGCCTTACCTGCAGAAGCAAAATTTGGTATGGCAGAGTGGTGCTTTGTAGCTGATGTCCTGTGCCTTTGCAATGGATGTAAGGTATGCCTTTGATAATAGACTTTAAATTATTCTTTGCAGTTGCTCAGCCAAAATATTGAAGTGCCCTGTATCCACCCTGTGCACGGTGGTGATGTTAATGAAAGGGGGATGGAGTAATTTCATGTGCCTGTTCCTCTGTTGTCTCTTCAACATGGAAACCCCTGTGAAACTGCAGTGCTTCATCCTGCACTGGAGATGCAACCATCTCCCTTTCCTTGCCCTAACTAACTGCTGTGATCAGCAAGCTGCTACCTGAGCAGACCAGCAGCCTTCAAAAATGGCCATGGAAAAAGATTGGACTGTAGTTTAGAAGCACTAGTAATGCAATAGTCACTGTCACAATCCCTGTGTGGATGGTCCAAGCCAAGGCAGAACATTGTACTGATAAATAGCACGAAATAACTCAGGGCAAGTAACCCTACAGAATGATTAACAGGAAAAGTATGCTTATGTGACATAACAAAACTCCATGTCATTCAATCTCCACACTGAAGGCCACCCCCACCTTGCAGATGTGCCTTGCAAAGGAGGCTTTTTTCCTGAGGTACCTCAAGAAACTAAAACCTCTGCATAATTTTTTGTTTGGGGGGTTTTGTATATCTTTGGCCAAGACTGTCAGAATTGCTGGTTTGCATAAATAATGACATTTTAAATATTATTCTCCTGGATCTTCATCAAGGACACTGAAGAAAGACATTTTTTTCCCAACTGCTTAATAAGTTGAAGGCACAGTGTTTTTATTCTGACAGGGAGCAGACCTGCAGGGCTGGCTCCTCACAAATCCCAGCCACAGTCCCTTCAGAGTGCAGGCCGAGGCAAGCTGGGTGCACAAGCTATTGAGGGCACAGGTAGAGAGCTGTCCAGGTAAGGGAGTGAACTGGAACACTTTCAGTGAAAAATAGAACAGACTCCATCAGTGAATGAATCCCTGACTTTGCAGGCTTGCTGTAGCTCTGGGAACGTAGCTCAGCTGGGAAGTCATTCCACATCTATGTCCTTTTGTCTGGGAGTTCAAACCAGCAATTCAACCAGACTTAGAGAGCTATGAAAACATGTGTGCTGCCATAGCAGTCCAGGCCTGGAGGAGATCAGCTGCACTGAGCCCAGTTCAGCTAGGCCAACAGCACCAGTGGCAGACGGTGGTCTAACCTGTTCTTGAACATGAGTAATGAAAGCCATTCTCTAATCTGCTGAGAGATCAAAAGGGACCACTGTGAAAATCTGTTCTGACTTAACCCCAGCCCTCACGCATTGCACAGCCCAAAAGCCTTCCCCAGCCACAGAGCTGCCTTGGGAAGTTGTACCAGAGCTTTTAGGAAGATCCCTAATCTGATGTGCAGGAAGTACAGCAGGTTATGCACCAGGGGCAGAGGTAAGCAGATAATTATCTGCACTGTAACAGTTGCACTGCATGTCCCACACCGTGTAGGGGGAGGATGTGATAGCAGGGGGGAGCAGGCCAGGCTGGTGGCAAGTGTGAGGGTCCTGGTCAGTGTAGCACGCAGGAGGTGTGGCTGAACAACAAGGTCGAGGCACAGAAAATAACTGTACTGAGTAAAAAGGGCTATTTTTTAAAATAATGAGAACAAAAATAGACATCTGCAGTGTTTTCAGTTCAGCTGGCTTTGTTGCATAGCTGTCTTCCCACCACCCTTTCAAGAGTGTTCTCACAGAAACCTGGGGCTCGGCAGAACTACTGGAAGAAAGTGAGCAATTGAGGCAAGGCTGGGATGGCCAGAGATGGGCAGGCAGTTGAGTGCACTGCCAAAAAGGAGGCAGGGCATCCAGAGGATTGCCCTCCCTGCCCTCCCCTGCCATCCCCACAACTGCCTATTGTGCCTGCCCTGCCTGCCCTGCCCTGCCCTGCCTGCCTGTCCTGCTCTGCCTGTCTGCATCCCACTGCAAGTTGTGACAGTGGACTTGCTCCTCCATAGGACTCACTTCTGTCAAATCAGCTTTTTTTCCCACTGCCATAAAACTCTTCTGGTGGCAGCTTGTGCCCCATTCCAACAGCAGTCCTCACAAATCTTGTGAGAGCTGAGTTCTGATTGTGTTTGTTCCTGTTCAGAACAGCACTGCAATGTCAATGTGTCAGTGCAGTCCTTAATGGAAATTTGGGCTATCCTATGATCATTTCCTCAGGAGTAAGATTGCTTTTGCAGCTACTCCTCAGAAGGCTCTGTGCTGATGCAGAAACACTCTTATGATTCTGATGGAGTATAAATAATTGTCATTTTTAATATCACTGGCAGATTTGCTATATGCAATTTCGAGTCTGGCAGATTTGGGCAGTTTCTGCTTTATTCCTCACCCCCTCACTTTCTTTTCCCCCTTTTCTGATTTTAATTCCCCTTCAACAATGTTCTGAATATGAACAAAAAACTTTCAAGAAGGGTAAGGATGAGAGCAACCCCCAGAGTATCAAACATCCAGGGGATTTAGGGTGTGACAGGGCAGGTCGGCAGCAGGAGAGGAGCTGTGCCTTCTCTCCCAGCACTGTCAGGCTCTCCACACCAGCAGCAGCACCTGCAGCTCAGTTCACTCTGCAGTGGATGGGCTGGGGCTGAGCCATGCCAGGCTCGGTAATGCCACTTACACAAGGACCTTTGCAGCATAAAAGTAATATATGTGAAATTGGAGGATAAAGTGAAGGGAACTGTCTGCCAACACCAAATAGCATGGGGCCTTTGTGCAGGGAGGTGCATTTGTTTTAAAAAGCACACAGTGGGGATTTTTTTTATCTTCTCTACCTACAAGTCCAGGAGCACTGTGGTGTTCTGGAGGTGCTTGTTGATCTCTTCCCTGGGCTATTGAACAGCATTAAGCATATGAGCTTCTTCAGTCTAGGCAGGTGCCAGGGGATTGTCTCCCCCCTCACTGTTCAATCAAACCTTCCTGCTGGCACCAGTGGGGCATCTCACCTAAGCTGTGAAATCAAGATTGTGCCCCAAAGCCTGTTCTTTCATTGAATGCCCACCCTCTGATTTCACCAAAAAATCCCAGGGGCTAAAACGCAGTGCAATGTGTTTTCTATCAGTGAGGGAAGACCTTGACCCTGCAGCTGACACCGGGTGCTGCATGTGTCATCCTGTGTCTAAAAATGTGACCATTTTTCTGGAGCCTTCTAGTCTTTGGTGTCGATATTTGAACCCAAACTCTCCCCCTTCCTTAGATCTCTCAGCTGATGGACTGTGTAGTCCCAACCTAGGGATCTCCATTAAACTACCTTTCCATCCAAACTGTAGGAGGTATTTCCACTGCAAAGGCCAAGTCCCCTGCAGTCAATGCTCACACCAACACCTGCAGCACGGCCCTCAAGGGTGCCATGGGCCACTGAGCAAACGTGAGCAGCCACTCCAGAGAGACAGCAGTGATGGGTTTGGGCAGCTCACGTGGATGACCGTGTTATTTCCACATTCCGGAGAAGCTCAGGTGGGCAAACCAGGAGTGCCCGGGAAGCTCGGAGGGCAGGCGGACACCATGCACACCCCCATGCCAAGGGTGGCCGTGGGAGAGCTCTGAGGCAGCAGCTGATTCACAGAGCGCTGAGGGGCTGGAATGGGCCTTAAAGATCACCCAGTCCCCAAACCACCTCCTCCTCCACCAGGCCGCTCAAGGCCTTCCCCAGCCCAGCCTCGGTCACTCCAGGCCGCGGCATCATCCCCTGTGCCAGCGGCCTCACCCCGCTCTCCCCGCCCCGTGCTGGAGCCGGATTTTCACCGGCGACAAACCCCGCAAGTCCCCTCTATGGTCCCAGATCCCTGTGGGACCTGTGGGATCGCTGCGCTCCGGGACCCGCCCCACAGCCCGCCCAAGGCCCGCCGTGAGGGAAAGGCCCAGGCCGCGGCCCGCGCCGAGCCCAGCCGGGGCTGCCCATCTCGGTGGCTCCTCCCTGGGGGAAGGAGGGGAAGCCGGAGAAGGAGGAGGAGGAGGAGGAGGAGGGCCCCGGGGCCGCCCCCGCCGTGTGACGGGAGCGCAGCCCCCGAGCGGGCGCCGGGCCTGAGGCGGCGGGGTCGGCACCATCTGCGGGGCCCGGCCCGGCCCGGCCCGGCCCGCCAGCAAGACACCATGTTCTCCCTCAAGCCGCCCAAACCCACCTTCAAATCGTACCTTCTTCCTCAGGTAACCGCGTTTTGCTGCCGTTTATCGTCCTGCCCCGGGCCGGGCACAAAGCCCCGAGCCGGGCACAGCCCCGGGCCGACCGGCCCGGGGCTGTGCCCGGCTCGGGGGTTTGTCCCCGGCCCGGGGTTGTTGCCTGGCCCGGTTTTGTTGCCTGGCCCGGGGATCACAGAGCGGGGAGATTTCGTCTCATCGGGGTGTGCACTTGACACACCGCCTTATTTTTATGTTTATTTCTCCCGAGCGGGCACGCAGAAGAAGCGCTCGGAGCTGCCGTCGCGGTCGGGGTTGGGGGTTCTTAAAGGGGCTCCCCCTAAAGAGGAGCTTTTTAATTTAATTAAAAAAAAAAAAAAAAAAAAAAAAAAGGGAGAACTTTTCGCGCGGAGTAGATCGGACTTTTCTGTATGTGTATGTATGTGTGACCGGGGAGTTCTTGGGTAAATTCTCTTTTTTTTTTTTTTTTTTTTGTTCTCCAGGCTGAAGACAACATAGCGTCAGAACCGAGGATTAAAAAGCTGGAACCGGTGCTTTTGCCAGGTAGGCGTCAAATCGGGAATTTGACGAGTACCTTTGTTGTTGTCGGGGTTTTTTTTGATGTGTTTTTTTCATCCTAGCATTGCTCCTTGAGGGAATATAACTTCTGGGTAGAAGAAGAAGGGTGGTGATATTTGTGTCTGTAGAAAGTTATTCTAACCTGCCTGAAACACTACATGTTTTTTTTTTGCCACATAATTTTGCCCGTGTGATGCTTTAGTATGTGTAGAATAACGCCTTGGTTTCATTGTGAGCGTTGGAAATTAAACCGCTGTAAGTTTTTCCAACGTTCTTGATGCCTTTTGGAAGGCTAATAATGATAATTACATTTTTGTCAGATAGTCAGACGTGTACCTGTGGGCAGAGCCCAGTACTACAACCTGGGCTGGAGCCTTCCTTTATTTTAAAGGAAAATAGTCATAGAATTTCTGGCATTTCTAGGTAGGTATGATTGACTCCTCTACTGGAAAACTTCTAATGCCATCTTTATTCGTTCTTTTTTTGAATATGCAGCTGTCTGGTAATTTTGGAATTTGTGTTTTCAGACCTCTACAGAATGGTCTTTTTAGTGTGTGGGTGAGAAAAGCAATGCTTTTATTATTATCCATCATTACATATCTATAAAAATTAATGACTTCCTTATTTTAAATAAGAAATAATCTTTGGTAAATGATGGTTTGATCAATGAGGATTTCTAAAAGCCTTTTGTCAGACATCAAAGGAACAATCTACTGTTTTCAAGATTACTTTCATTGCAGACTCTGGCTTGTGGTTTCTAAGGGTAATTTTGAGTTTAAAACAATGCTATACTGCATTTTTTTCTTTCCATTCATATTGTGTATTAAAAAATGTGAATTTACACACACACTGATGTAGGAATAAACAGTTTACTCCTAAAAATTCTTTCTGTCACTGCTTTATATGGGTCTAAGCAGTACTAATGCTAATCAAGCATATTGATTTGTATGTGATATGGTCCAGTGAGGTACCTTAAGCTTAAGGGGCTGAAATGTTGTGGGAGAGGTTCAACTGAAAGAGTAAATAACAACTGACTCTTCCTGAAACAGACCAATACAGATTATTCTTGAGGCATAAATACTTTAAACTACATTGCTGAGATTGCTCGGTGTTTGAGATACAGTTATGTTTTTGTACTTGCAAAACTTCTGCTTAGCACTTGGCATCCCATTGGTTGTGTTGCAGTTGATACTCATCCAAGGCCTTTGACTCACAAGGAAGTGACTGCATGTTCCTCTCTAGACATTCCACAGCAAATGCAAGGCAGGACGAGGCTGCTTTCCTCAGACTGCAGCCCATCTTGCTTTGCTGTGGGCCCTGGCCACGAGCAGTCACACAAACCCACTCTGTGCTCTAACTTCTGCTCTGGGGTTCGTTCTGTATTTGTGAGACTCCCAAGTGCACTTCAGTGGTGCTTGCTGGGCCTGCTTTTCCCAACTGCCTTGTATTTATTCCCTGTTTGCACCATTTTGCTTGTCTGCACCCTCTCTGAATCAGGATTTGGTGGCTTTGGGGACATCTGGAGTAAGTTGCCCGAAGTTGTATAGAAGGCACAATGTGATTTCCACCTCCGTATCACTGGAAGGTGTTACTTTGAATTATTTCATAGTAGAACTCGCTGCTCCCACAGCCACAGAGTGACTCTGACCAAATCCTTTAATTACTCTGCATGAGAGTGGAGGAGGGGAGTTTAGAAATGACTTATTTTAAATTACTTACATGAAACTCTTTGTGTTTAAAGCTAAGCACTGGCCTAAACACATTTTTTTTTTCGTTCCTGTCATCAGCTGGTGCAGTAGAAAAGTGTATAAACAAGTACGCATTGTACTGTTGGATAGACTGGCTTTTGGATTTGTCATAACCCGAGTTTCTGGCCAAATTCCAATTAATTTAATTATATCAAGGCTGACTTGCACTTCCTTGCAAGTACAGTTTGAGTATGGCATTCCTAATATCCTGTCCTTGACAGTTGTGTGAAACTGCTTTTGCTCTCAGGAACAGAGGTAAGCCTGAGTGGCTGAGTGTTTGTTTTGCTTCTTTAAGTGGGGGAATTTTTCAGGAGTTCTTTTGGAATTAAATTACGTTAGCACAAGCAGTCACTGGCTCTAGTAATCTTTAAAACTGCAAGTGATTGTATTGAGCTTTTGATTCCTAAAATGTAATCACTTTGAGGGAGTGGCTTGCTTACTGAAAACTGACATTTCAAAGTAGCTGCATACCGTGCTGTCTGACTTGTATTTCTGTGCAGTGCAGGTTCAGAGAGGGAGTTCCAGGCTAGGAAATACATCCAGTTACATAACGAGGAGGTTTTTAGGAGAAAAAAAAAAAAAAAAGGAATATTTACTGGAATTAACTTTGAACCTGTGGAGTTTGTTTTTAAAGTTTCCTCTGGGCACCAGAGGAATAGATGCATCTCTTCAGAATTTGGAGCAAAAGCCTGTATTCCCATGGAAGTGTGTGCCCTGGGGAGGGTGGTATGATGTTGGGAAAAGCAACAAATATCATTTAAAGCAAGTGAGACCTTGGCTGTGAGTGGCAACATTGACAGCAGGGAAAAGCAAGTAATTTTATAGAATTTGATATCATTTCCTTCCAAAATACATGATCTAGGTTTGGGATGGAGTTATAGAGATGTTTTCCTTCCCTTTCTGCAGTTCTGTTTTCCCAGTGTGGCTCTGTATCTGTTTCCTCAGAGTCAGTTGAAGAGTTGGCCTCTGTAACAGTTTCATTTTTTTCCTTTGTTTGTTTGCATAGCTGCTTTTATAGCATGTCAGAGAGGAAAATTACAGAAGCAGCAGGTAGTTTAGCAGGCAGCCTGTGTAAGTGCCTGCCTGGCTGTAGGAAATTGGCCTGTGTGCCGTGGGGAGTGTGAAGCTGTTAAACCTGAAGGTGTGTTTTGTTCTGGGCTCAGCTCTGTCCTGCTTTCCCCGACCACATTGGTGGTGTGTTCCAGTCAGCACCCCTGGACACCAGAACTGGAGTGCAGTGCAGGGTGGCTGCCTGGCCTGAGTGGCCAAGCACGTGCAGAGGGTGCTGCAGGGAGGGGAACGGACCAGTCCGGGCCCTGTACTGGGACCAGTGCCACACTGGGGTTTGGGTGAGAGCAGGCAAAGAGATCCTCGCTGTTGCTCACACAGGATATTCTGTGGGAAATGATGTAACTAATGGAACACCTGACTGAGAGCGAGAAAAGGATTGTTCCTCCCCAACCTTAATGTCCACTTGGATTAGTTAAATTGTTGCTCAGGAGACTAATTTGCTTGTAGAGTAAGTTGGTAGTTGTTACCTGTAAGTTTTTATAAGAAGGTCAGAAATGATATAGTTGCTTTTGTTTTTAAAAGTTTATCCAGTAAAATTATAGAAGTAAAATGAATTAGAATAGTGTTTTTTAACCTTAAGGCTTGCTCGTGTTTAGACAAGTAAAAGGGATATTGGTGGTGAGCTGCAGTTGCAAACAGATCAGTCTTTCAGCAGTTCAGTTATATACTCTTACAGACTTGTGTGTTCTGAACTTACCCCCATCTAGTTTCTTTGGTAAATCCTAGTTCTTGTATGACACAGCAAACACAAGTCATATTCCTCCATTCCATGCCAGTCGTGATTTTCAGACTTGTGTCCACTCTGTTTTGCTTCCTTCTAGCTTAGTTGTCTTAGTTGCTCCTAAAAGAGAACCTCCCCAAATTTTTAATCATTCTTTTGATTACCTATGAACATTTTCCAGTTGCGCTAAGCTCCTGCTGAGGTGGAATTGTGCGTCACGTTCAAGATTTTTGCCACTGGATATATTCAGCTTTTATCTAATAATGCCAGTTGGCTTTGCCACCTGCTTTTGGGGTTTGCTTTGTTTTTTTTTTTTTTGCATACATGTGCCCTTAGAAAGGCAGCTGGCTGTAGAAATGTAATTGTGGGAAGTTTTTAAGACTGGATCCTGGAACATTTTAATCTTTCAGAAGAGTCTGATTCTCTTGCAAGTTAGCTCCCAGCTCTTTTCCTCTTTTTTTTTTTTTCTCTCTCCCCTGCTTTCTGCAATTCCTCAGTACATAAGTCATGTGTTCCCAGCAGCTGCAGCACATCTTGTGATAGGAGCAGGAATGCGGTGTTGGACAGGCTCGGTGTGCGTTAGTGCCCCAGGTACGTTCCCTCCTCACTGCTCTGGGCTCCTGCCCCCTGCCTGGGCATTTGGTGGTGTCCCGGTGCTGACAGAGGCCCTGGGGTGCGGGGAGTGCCAGGGCTGGGGGGTGTGAGGAGCAGGGGCTGGCAGAGTGAGGGTGATGCCCGGCCCCAGAGCTGTGCCCACGCTCCTGCCGTGCTGTTGGGGCTCCAAGGGAAGCCGGGATTGTGCAGCTGTACTGATTGTGCAGCAGTTAGCTGTTCCTGTCGGTGCCTGTTCCCACAGACAGGTCTGGAGGGAGGTGTTATTGGGGCAGGTGTTGCTGCTGTGCAGGACCTGCCCAGTTGCCGGTGGGCAGTGCCAGCCTGGCAGAGCTGGTGGCACCCGGACAGATCGTGAGAGGAGGCAGGTTCTGGTTGCTGCCACAGCACCCAGTGCTGTGCTGTGCTCCCAGGGCTGGCAATTGGAATGTTACTGTGGAAGTTTGTTTGGTTTGAAAGTTACGATGTGAGATTAAAAATGGGAGGCAGCTTTGTAATTGTAATTTGTTTCCAGGAATCAGTGTCATGCAGGAGCGTGAAATGATTTTAAAGATTTAAAAATGGCCACATTAGAAAACCAGAATAGCAATTTGGAAAGTAATGCAATTCCCTAAAGCTTTTTTAAAGTAGGATTTTTTTTTTCTTTTTTGTGGTCTGCACAAAGATTACCAAGAGTTTGTAAATAAATTATGATGGTTTTGAATTCTAGATTTGAAATCTGAAACTTTCTGCAGACTAGTTTTTCATATTGCAAGAAGTTTAAAAACGAACCAAGCATTTGACTTATATTTAGAATAAATGAAACATCACTTCCAGTAAGTATATAGTAAATA